TCAACATGCAGTATGAGACAAAGTCAAAGATGATGCCAGGTTTTCTGGCTTGAGCAAACATGATGCAGCTGTCATTTACTAAGATGGAGAAGACTGCATAAACAGGTTTAAAAGGAAGATCAGGATTTTGGTTCTGGAACTTATTAGATACATAGATAGAGAAACTATGTTGTTGTTGTTATGTGCCATTGAGTTGGATCTGACTCATAGTGACCCCTCCTTGGGTTTCCAAGGCAGTATCACTATGGAGGTAGATTGCCCAACCTTCCTTCCGAAGAGTGGCTGGTGGGTTTGAACTGCTACCTTTCTGGCTAGCAGTCAAGTGCCTTAGGCACTACGCTACCAGAACTCCTGAGAAACTATGTAGGCAGTAAGAAATATTTGAGGTTAAGGGAGAAGTACTATATTTTATGCAAATAATGTGTGTATATACATACGTATATACACACACATGCATGTATATATGTGTGTATGTGTGTGTGTGTGTAAATGGAATTCTGGTGGTGTAGTGGATAAGGCATTTGGCTGCTAATCAGAAGGTCAGCAGTTCAAACCCACCAGCTGTTCTGTGGAAAGAAGTGAGCCAATCTACTTCCGTAATGATTTATGGCCTCAGAAACTCAATGGGGGTCACTATGAGCTGGAATTGACTCTATGGCAGTATGTGTATATTTACATACACACACACACACACACACAGAGTATAGTGAATTACTTGGTATGGCTCTTCTAGCATGGTGTTTGTGACTCCTACCAGATTTCTGGGTGGAACTATATAAACATGAGGTGCTTGTGGTCTACCAAGGGGAGAGGACCATGGAAATAAAGTGTATGGAACCCTAATGTTGGGATTGGTCAGTGTTGTCATTCTGCCAGGCTTAAAGTGAGCCCTCCACTAGAACAACTGAGGATCCACAGCCATCAAGAGAGAAGAGCTACAGATACATAGACCAATGGAATAGAATTGAGAACCCAGATATAGATCCATCGACCTATAGTCAGCTGATCTTTGACAAAGGCCCCAAATCCATTAAGT